TAAGGATCACTAGATGTTCTAGTATTTATCCATTCACTTAGTGTGTATGCATAAAATATCTGTGTCATGTCAAATCTTTGACTCTACTTTCAATTTTAGATGTTTGGATAGAATAGAAGATAGGTTAAGAGTTATTCACTCAAAAACAATTATCAGCTTAGTAACATAGGACTACACTGAGCATAACCCACTCAGAAGATGTGGTAGACAGGCAGCCTATATGATGGCCTATCCCTGTCTCTTGATAGCCATTCTCTTTGGAATGCCCTTCTTTAAGTAACCTAGTAACCCTTAACTACTCATTTCTAAAACATTGAATAACAAAAGGAAGAGGGAAAGGTATAACACACCAGAGATTTCATCTCAGTGTTTTTCCTTGATTCTCATTCTCTGTCTCATTTGAGTCACTCATTCTGAGAAAGTCAGAGTGTCATGTTGTGATAATGCAGAAGGAGCTCATGGAGGTATCTAAATAACAAGGAGCTGGAGCTCCCTGATAACATCCAGGATGATTAGCTCAGATTTCAGGGTATCCCAGGTAGAACTTGATTGACAACTATAGACAGTAGCATTGTAGCAACCTCATGAGAGAATCTTGATCATAACACCCACCTAAGTTGTTCCCAAGTTTGATTACTAAACCTTGGAAATCATGAGAAAACAAATATTGATATCCTAACATAACTGATAATGGGCTTATACAATGAGTGGAGATTTGGAGTTTTTTTTCACTCTTTTTTATTTTTATTTTTTTTAAGTTTAAATTGAGATTAGAAACAAGGTTGCTTCACAAGTCAGTTCCATGTCCCTCACCGTTTCCCTCTCCTCCTCCCGTGCCCTCCCCCCAACATCCCCTCATTTCCCCAGGGAGGGTGAGGACCTCCATGGGGGTGTACACAGATTTGGAGTTTTGAATGATTAGAAAGTGTTGCAATGTACTTTAGCCAGAGATATATCAAAATGATTGGGAAATACTGATGAAAAATTTGCCCATCATTATTAAGCTAAATACGTATTATTTGTAATAAAATAAGACACATGACGGAATGTGTGTTCCATGAAGGCTAAGGCTGGAAGGTGAAAGAAGACAACCTAAGACAGACACAGTCATCTGTCCTGTAGCAGAAGTGCAGGTATTAATTCATTTAAATTGAGAAGGGAGAATTGTCAGGGCCCAGAAAGAGGGGTCCATTTCATCTTGCCTCAAGATCAGAGTTCAAAACTGTCCTTAGACCAATAAGACTAAGCTTGGCTGCTGCAGGATGTCTCAGCCTTGGTAGCAGATGACTTTATCTAAATAACAACAGACTTGGGCTCAGGTGTGTTTACTCTTGATCCTGAAGGCTAGATGGCAGGTGTGGCTACCAAATACCTGGAGGATTAAGGGAAGTAAGTCTGTTTGCTCCTTATACATGATAATAGAAGTCTTATGCCATTGTCCCCACCTTTGATTGGGTACTTAAGAATGTTGAAGAATAAACTAAGGGTATTCAGTATGGATTCAGTATGGACTGAATTTGCCCTCCCCACGATTAAAAATAAAAGAGTTTAGCTACTAAAGTATCATGAGTTGGAAAGCCCTTTAAAATATAATGCATCCCTATGATTCTAAGTTATAATATCTGTGTTATGGTCAGAATGCCTTGACCAACTCAGTTCCTAATTTAAAATCTAATTACCAATGCAATTGCATTAATACATGGCGTCTTTAAAAGTTAGACCCTTCTGAGTGGGATTAAGTAACAGGATGAAAGAGATTTGTGAGAGTCTGTTTGCCCTTTCAATCATGGGAGAACACTTAAAAGGTAATATCTATAAAGAATAGGATATGAATAGTCATGGACTCTGTTGAGACTTTGACTAGGTTTCCCTGACTGCAGAACACAGACCTGAGGAACTTTGGGCAATCTGTAGTTTCTAGGAGAGGGAGAACCAGTTTTATTTAGGTGTATGGCCCCTAGCGCATTGACCTTGCTCACAGTGGAAGGACACATGTTCAATGAGTTATTTGATTTAACTTACTAAATGAGTTAAAGGCAGAAAAGAGGACACAGAGTTGAATGGGTAGGGTGAGAGGGAAGTATCTCTCTGACCTTTCCCTATGGGCAGGGTTTTTCTGGTTATTCTATACCCTTGCATTTGGATTTACAGGTTTATTTTCTTTGTAATTTTAAATGTTATTTTCAGAAGATTAGACTAGTGTAGCATATCAATGTATACTTACTCTGTATGCTAAGCTTTTATTGTTTTGTGCTATCATTTATTTATTATATTTGGAGACAGAGTTTTGCTAAATATCTCCGGATATCTTGGAATTCTTTATGTAGACCTGGCTGGTTACAGACTCACAGAGCTCTACCTGCCTCTGTCCCCCAGTGTTGGAATTAAGAGTGTGTGCCACTATGCCCACTTTTAACATTTTAATAAACAGGAAAAGAAACACAAAACAAAATTTTCTTAACTTTAACTGTTAAGAGAATATAAATATAAAAATAATAATAAAAATTGAAATATTTACATGTTTGTAAGCAGCAGCAGAAGCTGGTGAAGGAAGAATGAATAAACCAGAAAGGAGAAAAGGAAGGAAGAGGACAATATTTCAACTTACTGTTTTACATTCAAAATGAGTTCCTTTTTAAAAGTAATGCTCTTAATTCCTCTTGCAGGCTATGCAGATATTTTGAGACAGGTGGTAAAGAGATATGCATAACCTTTCCTAAATCAATAAAAACCAGGAATAAAACTAGACTTTAGAATGGCTGGACTCTTTAAAAAAACACTGCCTGTAGTGTTTATAATAAATGGTGCCTTTAAAAATCTCTATGTCAGCAGAGAAAATTTAAAACATAAATTGTTCACTTAACTTTAACTGCTACAGATTTTGGCAGACAGTAAAATTAAACAGTGGGTGATCAGCAGAATGAACGACATCTTTCAATATACCACAGGGTTACTAATACATCTTAAGAGAAGAAATCCTGTGCTAGCATCAGGATTGTGAAGGTGTAACACTTTCTACCATAATTGTTGTAAAAGGAAGCTGTAGGTTACCATGAGCTAGAAAACTCGATTATTTACTGGAGCTTTATTTATTTTATTCTATGTGTATGGATGTTTTCCCGCATGAATGTTTGTGTACCATGTGTGCGCACCGTCCATAGAGACTAGAAAATGGCATCCATCAGTTACACATGCTAGTTATTTACATTTGGGTGCTGGAAACAGAATCTAATTCCTCTACAAGACCAGAAAGTACTCTTGGTAGGTAAGTCATATTTCCAGTCTCCAAATTTAATTAAATTTAAATGTTTACTTCTATTGGTTTTAATCATGTGTATGTGGGTACGCTGTGCACAGATATATACATGTACAGTGCCCTCAGAGGCCAGAAGAAGGCATTAGATCTCCTGGGGCTGGAGTTATAGGCAAATATGAGCCACATGTGTGAAAGCTGGGATCTGAATTCAGGTAGTCTGCAAGTGGTCTTACCTCTGAATCATCCATTCACAAAGTCTGGAACATTTAGTTGGGGCAGGATCAAGCCCATCCCCTGCATTAAGGCTGGATATGTACTTACTCATAAGTGGATATTAGACGGAAAGCAGAGAATAACAAGACTACAATCCATAACTCCAGAGAAGCTAGGTAACAAAGAGAACCCTAAGAGTGGCATATGAATCTCCCTGCCAAGGGGACTTAGATGAGATATCCTGGGTAAACTGAGGATGAGGGGGTTGGTAAAAGGGAGGTGATGGGGATGAGAACATGAATGAACAGGGACAGGATGGTCTGGGGATGAGGAACAGAAAGGGAGAGCAAGGACAGAGAAAATCTCTATGGAGTTAGTGAGACACTTGGTGTTAGGGAAATTCTCAAGTTCTTTATGTTTGAAATGAGAATGTATGTCAACAGATATTAGCATTGCCTAAGATAGGAAAGACTTACCAGTTTTCAAATTTCTTTGGCTTTTCATGGTTATTTCTCTTTTTTTCCTTTTAAAAATAAAAAAATAAAAAGCCAAAACAACAAACAAAAGAAGAAACAAGACTCATAATATTCAAAGTACTTCGGATTAAAAGAGGTTCTGCATAATGTCTAAAGAGTAAAACAAAAATCTATAATCAGTTGGCCTCAAATGTTATGTAAATGAAAAAAAATGAAACCGATACATTTATTTGTATTTGGAGATGAAATAGTATAGATAGTAGGAAACACAAATGATTACAGTACTATAAAACTGAATATTTATTTTAAATAAGTTTCACAAAAACATGGCTGCAAATAACATGGTTAATTTTGAAAACTGAGAGCAGTCAGTAAACAAAACACAACGTGAAAGTCAAGTATATTAGTTAACATGGTGGCACAAACCTTTAATACCAGCAGTTGGAAGACAGAGACAGAGAGATCTCTGTTGAGTTCAAGGCCAGCTTGCTCTACTTACTGAGTTCAGGTACTTAGGGGCTAGATAATGAGATCCTGCCTCAAAACACTTATTACTATATCTATTTCTTCAATGTTCTCAAGTTATCTTGAGAAATGAAGGAAAAATTCTAAGGACTTGAGACATAAATCTTGATTTATAGCATGAATTTTCAAATTATTAATTTCCAACTTTAAAAATATAGACAAAAAACCGACAAGTGGGGCACGCCTTTAACCCCAGAACTCAGGAGGCAGAGACAGGCGGATCACTGTGTATTTAAGGTCAGCCTGGTCTACAGAGCCAGTTCCAGGACAGCCAGAACTACACAGAGAAGCTTTGTGTTGGGTGGGAGTGAGGGATATACATATAAAAAAGATTATATTTTATGATCCTGAACTAAATGTATATTCAAGAAAAATTCTTTTAATATACCTATGGAATTTCTGTTCCTGATTCTATTCATATCTTTCTTTCCTTTTTTTTTTTTTTAGTTTGTTTGTTTTGAGGCAGGGTTTCTTTGTATAACTGCCCTGGCTGTCCTGTAACTCCACCTGTAGACCAGGCTTACCTCCAACTCAAAGAGACAGCCTGCCTCTGCCTCCCAAACACTGGGATTAAAGGTGCGTACCACCACACCCAGCTAACTTTTCTTCAAAAAATATACAACTAACTTTTTCAACATTTTCTCTTTGCAACCCCATCTTGAAAAATGACAAGAGATTAAATTTAATTGATACTGATTTCTTTAATGTGAACAAGACTAAGCCAACTTTTTAAAGCAAACAGGCTATAACAATGACACTATTTCAATAACCAAGTTCCCATAAAATGGTATTAGAACAAAGATCTAAGCAAATCTCAAAGACAGTAGATTAGTGATTAGAACATCATGCAATATTTTAGCAAAAAGCTTAACGGGTAAAAGAAGCAACACATCAGATGACATTATAAATTCAAGTATGCAATTATAATTTACAAATTATAAAAATTCTCCCCTTTATAGCCAGTTGCTTTTGAATGGTTTAATTTTAGTGCGCCCCCCCCTTAACTAAATGCCTATTCAACAAGCCCATTGAACAAACATGTCTACTCAAATTTACATCCCAGAACACCTAAGTAAACTGAAGACATTCAGATGAGTAAGTACTATGCATTTTCTTCATCTGTGTGATCAGGTTGCAAAGGACATGTTCTTCTGTTTGCTGCATCCCGCTTCTTCAGGAACACGGTTCCCTTTTCCGGAGTCTTTATGGGACAGCCTGAAGAATTCTCCAGTGCCTTTTTGCCCCTTTGGAGTTGGGCGCACACAAACTGGATTCCCTCTTGCGTGCTTATGTTCAGCTTTACTCGACGAACACGATGAAGGATTTGTGATGAAGGTGGAGGAGCCAAGCACCTTCCTGGGGGCTCGCGAAGCCACCACTTTTCTGTAGGCTCCAGGAACATAGTCTGCTTTGATCCGCAGCATTTGACACAGGAAGACACGACTAGCACCGACTCCCCAGCTGCGGATGTCTTAACTGAACAAAAACCCGAAAATGACCTTCCCGCCATAGTTTAAATGGGCCTCTTTCTCATGGTTATTTCTACCTTCCCTAGTACAATCAACAATACCTTAGTGATGTATGTTTGTTCCACTCTTAGCATGGCACTTCCTTCTACATAGCCATTATTTAAAACGTCTTCCCTTTTCCATTCAAATAACGCTCCCATGCTCTCCTGGACTTCTGGAGGTATCACCTATGTCTACAGTTCTTATCAAGGTAGATAAATCGTCCTTAATTCACCAAATCATGACTTTAATGTGGACTTTACAGAGCAAAATATTCTCACCTATTAACAAAGCTCACAGATGATGCTGGCACTTCTGAACACTGGCCTGCTGACACCTTTCTCTTCACAGTAATCACCTCTCATGTCATGTGCTTTCCCATTTATGAATTCTGGCAGTGTAAATACAGACTGTCTCACTTTGGAAAAAGCTACATACGTTATTCACCATTGTGGTAAGTGCTCACTCCCAGCCAGTGAGATAGTTCAGGGGATATAAGTGCTCTCCAGTAAACCTGATGAGCCGAGTGTACATACCAGGAACTCACATACAGAAGGGAAGAACCAAATTGTCCTTGGACCTCCACACAGGCACTAAGGCACATTAACAACTCCCTACCCCACCCCTGAATACATACAAAAATAAGTAAATTTAATTAAAAATTTTGCATGTTTCATTTTTCTATTTTCACTTACTAAAATCACTGTTATCAGGAAACTTGGCAATATAATTGTGTTAGCTGTGAGCACTCCCAGATTTCAGCATTGCAGGGTTAAGAGTGACAGGAAAGACGTTTTTGAGAAGGAAAGGTTGTGGCCACTGACAATTACATTCTGGTTTTGTTGTCACGCATTTACTAGCAAAAGAAAGTCATTCTGACTCACATACCAGACACAAGTAATGGTCTCTCTGAAACCAAAGGAGGGAGGAATCCCACAGACACACTAACTCAGTTTTTTTGCTAACCACAGTGACCCTGAGCCTCAAATTCAGTTTTATAGATGATCATATTAAATGTTTTACCAGTTCACATCAATAAATATACAAATGTACTTTCCTATATTACACATAAAAAGGAAAATTAATTTTCTTTTCAGCTAAAGGCTACTAATACATAAAATATGTTTTGAACAACAGAAGGGAATTATCTTATAAATTTCACGAATCTGATTTTCAAAATGAAATGCAAAGTACTTCTGCTAGAGATTGTCTACATCACTATAAATGTATACAATTTGTTATTTGTGAAATATTTTACTATAATTCTTGTATGAGGGAACTTAATTGTTGGATTTCTCAGTAGATAGAGGCCTAGCCCAGAGCCCCCTTCCAACTGTGATAGGACATAATGGTGTGTGTTAGCTAGAGGGGGTTGAAATATTGATGTCTTCAGTACTCCAGTTTGCCAGGAAGAATTTATGACTGACTACTCCAGATCCCAGAGTATTTGATTCCAACTGGTCTCTATACTACTATAATTCCCTCAATAGGCAAGCAAGAGCCTTGCTTTTATCAGACATTACTTTATGATGTCACAGAGCATATATTATTGGATTGGATACTCTTTCCAAAGAGATTCCCTGCCTGGTACATTAAACCTGGTAAATAATAATAACAATATAAAAAAATGCCAGAGCAAGTGTTTGGTCGTAGGATGGAACTCAATATGTTGCTTAGCAAAGCTGACATAGCATCAAACTGTCTTCTAAATATGACCATAGACAAATGCTACACTTGACCTTTACTAGGGAACTCTCTACTGAAACAGTGAATGCAAATACCCATGGCTGCACAAATTGCTGAGATTAGGGGATAACATATTCTCAACCCTATATAAGATACGATACCATCCACTTTGAGGCGTGGGGGACACTATGAGAAGAGTGTTAAGAGTTGGAGAAGGTCTGTAAAGTGTCATCTCTAGGTAAGACACACCATGTTAATTATGAACTCACAACATTTTGTGGATACCTGCCCTGGATCTACACAACAAGAGACATACCCATTATCAAAAATGGGTGGAGGAAGTGAAAGGTTCAGGCATTACGCTGGCCTGCCCTGTTACCTGGCAAGATGCACTCAGGCAACACTCTGGTCAGCCCAGAGTTATGTGAGAACCACGGAGGTGCAAAGGACCCCTTTAAAGGACTGACCCCTGCCTGCTTAAGCTCTCTCTTACTCTCTTACTCTCTTACACTCTTACTCTCCTACTCTTTTAGTCTCTCTTACTCTCATCTCTCTTTGTCTCTGTCTCTCTGTCTCTCTCTCTCATATCTTATCTCTCTCTCAGCTCTGCACAGGTCAGTTACCTCTCACCCCCCTTTTCCTCCCTGTCTACCAATAAAACTCCACATGGGATCATTGAGTCATGGTTTGTGTCTCATTACTGAATTTTAACAACAGGAAGGGCTTGGGAGATCTGCCATCATCACTGATCAGCTTCTTACTGACAGAGTCGGGGAGCACAGAAATCATTGCCTGTAGCTGTGCACACACTAATGACTCCTGTGAGCTCTCAAGGGAGTTCAAGGCCATGATCACACCTATCACCCTGGTAAGATCAAATGCTTCTCAAAGTAAACCAAAAATAATGAACCTGGGAAAGAACTAGTAGGGATTTGAGGAGAGGCTGATGGTGGTGGGGGGGAGATAGAAAGGGCAATAAGGGAAAAGTAATCAGAACATGTACTTTTGTATTGCTGATACATAACTTAAAGGTCAGGGTGAAACCAACCTCTCCTCAGTGCACACAAGTACGTATTTGTGTGTCTATTTATATGGAATTTTCAAAGAACTAAATTAATCAATAAAAACATGAACTTAATGTCCCTTATCTAGTTGGATTTCAAACAAAATGATGCACTCCAATATGTATGATTTTGCATTTGAAAAGTTATAGGATACAGGTCTGGTAGTTTTTATTGTTATTTTAATTAAGTAAAGGAACCACTGAAGTGTATCCTGTACTTTGATTGGTTCCTAATTTTCATAGAAGACTCCATCATATTTTTGCAAAAGAAATAACCCTCTTATGTGTTCTCTTGGTAATGAACATACCCACATAATATGTTATAAAAATGTCCTCACACAAACATACCTGGGTTTCTGTCATATCATAGTAATGCCTATTAGTATATCTACCAGACATAGTGTTTGTGTTTGATTTTAAAATATCACAATGGATCATAAAGATCTGAGGCTATAACTAGACATTGAGGGCCATGTTCCTGATTGGTCAGAGGTAAAGTTGCTCTATTGTCTCCATGATGACCAATCTGGTTGATAAAAATCAATCTTTCCTAATCTGTGTCCTGTTACTAGTTGGTCATCTTCTTCTCCTGCTTCCCCATCCTTCCTTTCCCTCACAAAACTCCTTCCTGTGATGTGGTGTCATCGGTGCGTATGAGGCAGAAGATTCTTTTCCATCACTTAAAGGCCCTTTAAAGGGATCATGGAAAGACTCTGAGTTGTCCATTTCTAGATAGAAGTATATGAAAGTAGGGTGAGAACCCAAGCTGTGGTGGAATTCTCTTTCTAGGTGGTGCCTTGTTTTCTTGTAGATTATCTGAGTTAGGCCAGAGTTAAAGAAGATGTGAGGCCTCAAAAACATCTTCATATTCACACAGGTAGAGAACCAAAGACCAGATGTACATTCTTTTATTTCTCCACCACATCTCCCTTCCTTTAATCCCATGCCAACTCATCTACTCTATCTTTAATCCTTTTCCTTTGGCACCATCTTCAAAGTCACATTGCACATTTTCCACATAGGGAAATGTTTCAGTCTCTGCCTATGCACTCCTGAAATCTACTCTTAAGCCTTTTTGGACTGTAAAACTTTGACTAATGCATCAGAATCTGTCCCCTTTTTTTCTAATAGGTTATTATTGACTAGCCAAAAGGTCAGAAAAATCTTTTCTATTACTATATATATATATATATATATATATAATTTCAGTTATTATGGAGTTAGTCTTCATTTTAAAGGTGACACAATGGAGAGTCACCTGGAAACAGTCCCAATGAGGAAATGTTTGCATTATGTTGGCCAGCGGGCATGCTTGTGAGATATTTCTTCATTGGGTTAATTGAGGAGAGAAATCTACTCTGAATGTGGGCAGCCCCATTTCATGGGTTAGGTCTAGACTGAATGGGCGGAGAGAGTGAGCTAAGCACCAGCATGTGTCTCGTAATCCATTGCTGTCTGCTCTCCATTGCTGAGTTTGAGTCCTACTGCAATCCAATCACTGGAGAGAAGATTGACTTCTATTAGGTAGATCTCCTATTTACCTGCAAGTTCTTCACTTTACGGTTATACCTAAGGGTTCCAGCTCAAGAGGGATAAAAGTTATTCAAGGACATGACTGAATGTAATTTCTACCAGGAAGATACTTGGTTATCCTGGTTAGCCAAGTGATTAACAGACACAAACCTCTTAGAAGCCTCTCTGATGTTCTTGGTTGTGAGATTCAGGCTTGAAGTGAAAGGAAGAAGGGATGATGCAGAAGCTTGTCTCTGACTGGTAAAAGGGGAAGGAGGTTGCTGGTGATGGTCTCTGAGCCTGAAATCCTGGTTGTTGCCACTCACAATGATTTGCTGAAAGTGTTGCAGAAATCAGGTTCAGTGGCATCTTTCAACAGATGTGTTTCATTGATGGCTCTTGTGAGTAATTGAATACACAAAAGTCATGATCTCTTGTTCAAAAGCTCACTGGGGAACCTTTCAAAGGTTGACCCAAGCTTTCTGGAAGTGGTTAATATCTAACTCTGGACAGTAATTAATGACTTTCTTAATCTCCCCTCTGCCCTGACCTTTGGCAGAACCCATTGCTTCTGTTTTCCTGAATAGAGATGACATCTTACTAGTTATATTATGCCACATCACAATGTGATCTTCTAATAGATGTTAAGTTGAAACATTAGAGAGCGACTTGGTAATCAAGTATGTAAAGAATTCACTAAGGAGAGAGGCAGGATTGTACTCAGGCGCCTGCCTGTAAGGATGGAGCAGTGTAGCTGGAAAAAGTTTCTTGTGAATGGCTTGTTATAACCGTAGATAAAGGGACATCAACCTCCACTAGAAGACAAACACATCGTGGTACAGAATAATTAACTGTCATGGAAAGGGAGTCCAGAGTACTTTTGTAAGGATAGTAACCTTTGAGTCAGTGTTCAAAGGCCAATACAGATGGAAGTAGACAAGAGAGAGTATTCCAACTGCAAAGACAGAATTAGCCAAACCATAGTAGATAACAAGACAATGATGTCCTGTGTTTGAATTCCCAGCATCTCATCTGGGAAGTGGATGCAGAATTATGAGTTCAAGGCCAGCCTGAAATAAACAATTCTTTTAAGTGAATTAACTTTTAGAAATCAGGTCTCCAAAAAGAGTTTTTAATAATTTATTTGTTTTTAACTTAATGCAGTGTTTGGAAGATATAGTGCAAAGAAATGAATAAGGCTATCCAATAGTTCTGCCATTCTGGAAGGAAAGTCATTTCTGGAGGGTTTACAGAGACCATATGATTCTTCAAACTGTGGTTACTTAGAGAATGTCTCCAGAGTCATATTACATTGAACTGAAAGAAATTACTGTTGCTGGAAGAACTAAAAGGATTTCTTGAAGCCGAGACTACAAGCAGTTTCTTGAAAGATGAATATAATCTGACGTGTTAAACAACAGGTGGGAATATTCCAAAATGAGACGCATGACATAGGTAAGACATAGAGATGGTAGCAGTCGCAGTGCAGTCAAATGATTGGGAAGCATCCAGTGAGATTATATAGGCTGTGTGTTTGGTAACACGCCATGAGCAAATTTGAGGAAAAGGAATTAAATGAAATTGACTGATTATATGAAGAAACGGAGGGGAAGATGACTTGGTAGAGACAGTGGTTTAGGAACAACAAAAGAAAAGACACCAGGAAGCCCCAGCCACGTCTGCAGTGAAAATTATATTGCTACCCTTTACTGGGCAGAGGAAATTTCTTTCAATCACACCTAGAATGTAGAATACCAATTTTCAGATGATGCAGAGAGTCAGGACCTTTGGACCAAACCCTTTGGCATTTGTGTGTGACTGCTTCTTAGGATTGTCAGGCAGAGATGCAACATATGGAATGCAGTCTGCCTGAGTCTAGCTTACCAACACAATCCATTCTATCAATTTAATAGTCAGTTTAACAAATTATATCCATTATTTAAATTGGTATACAGAAAAAAAAACACTACAAAATTTTTCTCAAGTGGCTTCAAATCACTTTTCTAGTATCTCAACTGCCTTTGAGTGTGAGTAATAACAGTCTAATTCCCCGGGGTTCTAAGAAGGAATGGCTTCCAGGCATGCAGTTTTCCTATCCTCTTTATTCATTGTTACTTTTATGGGATCTCATTGTCATGGGTTAGACATGATAATGTCTGTAGATGAGACTAACACCCATTGGTTTCCAGCCTCTACCTCCCAAGTGCTGAGGTTACAGCTGTGCACCACCATGCCTTCTTTCTATGGTGCTGAGACCAAACTCAGGAATTTGTGCTTGATAGGCACAGACTCATCCAAGGGGCTAGAACTGCAGTTTGGGATTCACCAGTCACTGGGTGAATGTATGATTATTCTTGATAAATACCGGTTTCCAACAGTTGGGGCAATCAGGATGTCTTGCTCAGGGTCATTTATGTGTCTGCTCTGTGTTTATCTCTGTTTCTGGCTGACAATGAGACTAGGTAGGGTTTGATGGCCTGCAACAACAGATGCCTTTGGACCAGCTGATTCCTGACTTTGATAGAGCCAATAGCCACAGGAAAATATACTCTGCCAGTTCACTCTGGCAGCTGGCCTCTCCCTAACATCATAAGAAAGAACTAAGGTTAGTATTAAACGTGTAACTTCTAGATTTCATGTTGAAATCTTGCAGGTTAGCTCTTTTTAAAAATAATCCAAGCCAGATATGTGGCTCATGCCTTTAATCCCAGCACTTGGAAAGCAGAGGCAGGAGGATCTCTGTAAGTTCAAAGCCAGCCTGGTTCACACAGCAAGCTCCAGGGCAGCCAGGACTATATGGAGAGACCCTGTTTCAAACAACAAAAACAAACTAATCCAATGCACCCAAAGGAGCGATTCCCAACAAGTGGAGAAACTCAGTGTTTGGGTAGAATTGTGGGAGCATAAAGGATTTCAATGAAAGATTAGGATGCTATGGCTCTGTCGGCAAATAGTAGCTCTCCACTATTGATAGCATTTCACTTAAAACTGGAGGGGGGGAGGGAGGCAATGTAAATTGCTGAACTGAAGCAGGACAACCTAATATCCTAATGTGGGGAATAACATACAGGACCATAGAAATTCAGAAAACCTATTAAGAAGTCACAAAGTCTGATTAAAAACCAAGACACCATATTCCATGAACTCTCACGGTGACTGAGACAAGATACCATAGGCTTCATCATTCATGATGGTACTTAAGGCAAATTTTCTAAACACTAGGGGGTATCAGGAATAAAAAGCAAAAAAAAAATGGGAGATACCCATTAAGTTATTTTCAGGAAGGTGGGCTAAACTCTGAGAACTAGCTTAAAGAAAATGAAACAGAGAGAAAAACAGGCCACATTAGTATTCTTTTGCTAAAATGTGAGTGATGGAGGCTTCACAACACAAAACACGACATTTCCAATTATGGGATTTGATAAGTATTCAAATGATGAGTCAAGATATGACCCAGGGGTGAACAAAGATGAACATCTCCTGGCAGTCAGTGGTGGAGGACAGAAGAGATGAAAATATTTTCCATAGACGATCTCTCTATGGGAGAGAGAAAGCACACAGTCTTCAGCTTTGCTTAAGATCAAACTGATCTAATTAGGTTTTTCATTTAATTCATTGCCCTGAATTCCCTTTTGTGAGGCATGCTTTTGATAAATTTCAAGGAAAGCTATTTGGAGAAAAGTCTGAATTAGACTTATTTTTTACAAAGAAGAAAACAGAAGCACACTTCAAGAATACACCTAAAACTTGTCTGAAAGAGACCAAGATGATTAATTAAGAGTCATAAATTATACATTTAGTATTAAGATTTACTTTTTACAGAATAGCCCAGAAATATTCTATACATCTCACATTTGGAATGTAAGACAATTTGAATGGGATATTTTAATTATTATCTTACAAATAAATAGAGGAAAGGGTTTGGGGTTTTGTTAGCTCTTCTGATTGTGAAAATGTTGCCCCATTGGTTAGCTGTTTGGTACAGGCATTAATAACCACAGATGCATTAATGAGAATGTATTTCAATGTCTGAATAATTTTGCTGCTTTTTATGATGTAGAGTAACTGCCAACACTTTTGAACACTATAGGAATTTACTCCCACTTCACCCTGTGGATCTAGCAAATGTGTTCTCTACCTATGGAGTATAAAACTGCAGACTTGGCACCTCATCTAGATGTTATGGCCACAGAGTCTGCAGGTGAGAGTTGCCTAATGCAATCACAAAACTGAGATACAAGCAAGGTTCAGCAGCCTGGCTGACTTTAGTTACTCTACCCCACAGGAAGTCTTCACTTGGATAAAAAGGAAGTTCTACATACAGTTTCCCTTATATTTTTAAGTGCACTCTTGGAAGGTAGAAAATAGAACCCATTAATTTAGTGGATCCTAGCTTCCACTAAATCAGAAGCTAACAATGTGATCAAGTAGTATCATGGGCCTATAGAAAAGAGTCCCCCATCTTGCCGTAACTACCTTTCTCTGGTGGAGTCACCAATGTATTCTAAACTTACCTCAATTTATGACAATCTTTGTTCTATAAAACTGTACAATTTCAAGAAACTGCTTCAAATTTGGAGCATGACATTTGGGGGTAAGGTAAATGTGTGTTCCTTGACTATGGTTACTCAAAATGCAGAATAAACTCTTATTTCCTTAAAGTGGACATAGATGGCAAGTACTTGATTTGATCAAATGAATTGTGTAGAAAGAGATATTAAATGATTTTAAGACACCAACTTCCAAAGCAAGTACACATATTTCCACACAATGGAAGGAGCAACTAATATGCTCTCAATTCTTCTTGTTTGTTTTGAAACAGGTTCTCAAACTGTAGCACAGGCTGGCCTTGAATTCATGACAATACTCTGCCTCAGGATCCATGCCTGCCTAGTCTGAGGGCTGGGATTGCAAGAATGAACCACCATAACTGACTATGTGCTCGATTTGTTACACAAATATCTTTGAAGAGTGGGTAGGGAAATATCAGTTTAATATCAAAAGTTACAAATGTGCCTTTACCACCTCTTCTCAGAACATTTCATTAATTTAAAAGAATGTTTAAAGAGAAGATAAGAAAGTTATCAACAAAGGGTGTATTCTCCTTAAAACAGCTCAAGAGAGCGTCAAAATTTAAAATGAAAGGAATGTTTTGTTATTGTTGCTGTTATTGTTTTGCTTTGCTTTGTTTTAAAGATCACCTATCAGTGATGGAGAGATGACTCAGCAGAGGAGAGCACTGGCTGATCTTGCAAAGGACCTACATTCAATTTCCAGCATCCACATAGTGGATCACACTGTCTGCAACACCAGTTCCAGGGGATCTGATGCCCTCTTCTGGGCTTGGGGGGCACACATATACATGGTGAAAGAACAAAACAGCTAAACATGTAAAATAAAGTGAAAAAATTGAAAGTATTGTCCATTCTTCTCTTTTCACAAACAATAGGAAAAGTTTTCAAAGTCGACATGCCCTATCTATCTCTCAAGAGAGTATGATTTCAATATGGAATCTGCAGGACTACCAAATACAACATCAATCTATTTTGAAGAGGCAATATATATGAGGCATTGAAAATACACAAGATTTTCAGATTCACAAAGGGTGTTCCTAGGAGGGGACTCTGCCATATGATCTATAAAAATTGTTGGCTGCCGTCCTTGTTCGTGAATCCTATATTTCTCTTGGAGAATTGTTAACAATAGTATTTGAAAGGAAAATGTCATTATACTGAGTGACTCAAAGTGTTCTCTGCCCAATTTTAGAAAATAATCACTTGAATACTGCAACCAAAACAGTCATGTATTATATATTTCTTAAACAATGAAAGAATTTGGGCAAGAATAGAAAGCTATTTTCCATAGAACTGCAAGTTAAAAGTAGCCAGCAGGTCTCTGGATACAGAGGAAAAACCTGCTATGGTTAAATAATAAGAAACCCAGGGGTACCAATAATATAGCCAATTGAAAGCCTGCAAACTACTGCATGCTTAACCCCATGCTGGCCTAATTATAGCTCTAAACATCTCTAACATTAATAAACACTCAAAAGTGGCTAAGGCCTGGGAGTAATGCATGTATTTAAAAAGACCTTTTTTTCAATGAATATATATATATATATTCCCCCCCCCCCACCGGGATAAGTTTCAAATCACATACCGACAGAATACCAAACACCAATTAGATGGTACAGGGATGCGCTGTGTGTAGAATCAAGTGACACAGCCTGAGACCTTTCATCTTCCTAGGTGTTGATACTCAGTTGCTACGCAGATTCACATGTGAGGAGCTGTGCAGCTGTCCTGGCAGACCGAGACTCACCCGTGCTTGTGAGGAAGTTGACATTTCTCATCACACCTTCGGTGTAAGCGCCTGGTTCATAGCTGTCCATTTCACCTGTGACGATGTGAGCTACCCTTGCAGCTCTTCCTCGGATGGCCCCAGCGGCTCTGTCTAAGTTATCAACATCCTGGTCCCTCAAGGCTATAATGCATTTGTTGACATCTTCCAGGATGTGGCTTTCTGTAAAGAAACAGAGCAAATTAAGTATCTGCGTGTGTTTTGATCACACAAATATAACATACTGCACTATTGCTAACTTTTTATTAAGACACACCACGTTACTCAGGGTGCTGAGAATTAATTATGAAGTAAAGCTACATGTATTTTTCCATTTCATCTCTCTACTTACTAGTAGTAACTGCCATAAAATGTAAAATTTACTTTTGAACATAAAGGTTTCAGGGATGGGAAGATAGCTCAGCTGGGAAAATTCTATTGTACAAATAGAAAGGTCCAAGTTTGGATCACCAAGACTTACTTAACATCTGGGCACTACAGCTATGTATGTAACCACAGCTGGGGACGGAGACAGGGAGATCACAGGGGATTTCAGGAAGCCAGTATAGAAAAATAACAAACAAATCAGTGATCTCCAAACTCAGAGAGAGACTCTCTCTCAAAAAATAAAGGGGGCAATGATAAAAAGAAAGAGTCCAACAACAAATTCTTGCCTGCTAATGAATAGATGTGCACCTACACACACACACACACACACACACACACACATACACACACACACACACACACACACCAGAGACAGAGAGAGACAGAGAGACAGACAGACAGAGAGAGACAGAGACAGAGACAGAGACAGAGACAGAGACAGAGACAGAGACAGAGACAGAGACAGAGACAGAGACAGAGAGGGGGTGGGTGGTTGGGATTTTGCCTGACATGGGGATACACACCTAAAATCCCAGGACTTGGGAGGCCGAACCAAGAAGAATGGGAGTTCAAGACCAGCTAGTCTTACACAAAGAGTTAAAAGCTGTACTATAAAATAATTAAACCACCAAGGGCAATAAAAGACAGAACTGTATTGATCATGCATTATTTTAAGTGCTAGGGGCAGTAGACTATGTTTGACATTTGAGGGACAAGTACAAATTGAAGGTGTTTTATATTAAAATAAAAATAGAACAAATAATTATATGATATTTAGTTCTGAATAAGAGAATATTATATAAGGGCATAAATTTAAAAACTACCATCTTTGATAAGTATATAGAAGAATAAAAATGTGGCATTTCATTTAGCCAGCAGATAATTAAATAAGTCTATAATGTTTTAAATATTTATTATTTATGTTCATGGAGATGGGTAGGTACATGTATGTGCATTTAGACATTCTCAGAGGCCAGAAGAGGGCACTGATCCTCTGGAGTTGGAGACTGGTGAAAGCCACCTGATAAGGATGATGGACAAACATGGTATGTACTCACTCATATATGGATTTTAGACATGGATCAGGAGAGCGCCAGTCTGCACTTCCACTGACAGAGAGTCTTGGAAACAGGAAAGAACCTAAAACGTATGCATGGTACCCAAGAGAAGAGAAATGAGGCAAGATCCTCTGAACAGATGGGGAACATGGCGAGGGGTGGGGAGGAGTGGGAGCTGGGAAGAAGAGAGGGGGAGAAGAGGAAGAGAGAGTAGGTCATGGGGGAACAGGAAGGTTGAGTGGGGGGGTAAAATAGGGAGAAGAGGGAATCATAGATTAGAAGACAGATCAGGCACCAGTGTGACCTCTAGTGATCTAAAGGGATGACACCAATTGGCAAGCTAAGCAATAGTGGAGAGACCACCTTGAATGCCCATTCCTGATAATGAACTTGATGTCTATAACCATCCTGGAGCCCTCATCCAGTGACTGATGGAAGCAGAGGCAAACACCCACAGTTAAACACTGAACTGAACCCAAGGAACCCAGTGACAGAGAGAGAGGAGCTAAGAGCAAATTGGCAAAGAATGGGCTGGCAAAACCAGCAGAGACAGCTGATCTGAACAGGGGAGAGCTTTTGGACCCCAGACCGACAGCTGGGAGGCCAGCATGGGACGGATCCAGAACCCCCAAATGTGTCAGTGAGGAGGCCTCGGCAACCTATGGGGCCCTGAGCAGTGGATCAGTGTTTATCCCTAGAATACAAACAGACATCGTGTGTCCATAACACAAAGCGGGATGCTTTCTCAGTCTGGACTCTTAGGGAAGTGCCTGGACCCTACCCTGAGTGAAATGACAGACTCTAGATATCCCCTATGTGGAAGGAATTGGCAATGGGGTGGGAGGCTGGGGGGGTGGATGGTGGAGGGGTGCAGGAGGAGGGGAGGGAGAGGGAACTGGGATTGACATGTAAAACAAGCTATTTAAAATTAAAATAATAATAATTAAAAAAAGAAAATAGAAAAAAAGGATGATGGGAATTCTGAAAAAGAAGCAAGCATTCTTAACACGGTGCTATCTCTCCAACTCCCCAAACTAAAATCTTTGTATTGTAAAGCAACAATTTCTCAAGTCTGTGAACACACACATACATACAGAGAAAGAGAGAGACAGAGAGAGAGAGAGACAGAGAGAGAGAGAGAGACAGAGAGAGAGAGACAGACAGAGAGAGAGAGAGAGAGAGAGACAGAGAGAATTGCCCAACCTGACAAGGTTAGAGTGTCAAAAAAGAGCAAGGAGATTTTAGTCATGATCAGAAAACAATTTTCTCTATAAAATTATTAATAATCTCAAATAAAAGGTGATAGTATGAAGAAATAATGTATAATACCAACAAGTATAAGCAATGATCTTTTTTGTTTCAGGTTTTAGTCTTTGTTGTTGGATTTTTGTGTTTTTGAAATAGGGTCTAATTCATTAAGCCCTGGGTGGGCCCTGAATTCTCCATTCTTTTGTCTCAGCTCCCCAAGTGCTGGAATAACAGCCATTCGTTGCCATGCACATGATGTTTATAAGAAATTAAAAGAATTTCAAAACTAGTGATTTAGCTTCAGGCTTGATCGCAGGAATGCTCACACAAGATAATTGAAGTCTCGATTATTTATCAACATATACAAAAATGGTTAAAAAAAAAGACCTCTGTATCCCGTAAACTCTTATTAACCTTTCTGACCTCTCTCTCCTGTTTCTCTTGGATGTATTTGTGAACATATGTTGACTGTCCATGCCAATGTAAGTAAACCATAGGCTGTAAGTTAATCATAGCCATATTTCCCTCTTAATGTATACTTAAACCATGAAAGAAGACTATGGGCAGGAATACAATGCTATTTTCTACATAATCGCAAGTTAAATGTAGTTTCTGGCCGAGCGGTGGTGGCGCACGCCTTTAATGCTAGCACTCGGGAGGCAGAGGCAGGCGGATCTCTGTGAGTTCGAGGCCGGGCTGGACCGATAGCCTCCAAAACAATACAGAGAAACCCTGTCTCGTAAAAACCAAAAAAAAAAAAAAAAAAAAAAAAAAAAAGTAGTCTCTGGACATGTAGGACAAACCTGCTACAGTTGAATAATAATAATAAAGCTACCATAGAATATTGTCAGTGAACCCTACTGCTCCATTGCAGACATTCCGAGCTTCACTTACATGTGTTTTTTAAATTGTTTTTCTTTTTACTCTTTCTGTGGGCATCTTAAAACTTTGGTATAACTGCACTGCCCACTCTTATGGTTAGCATGTTCTTGCACTATTGTTTCAATTCTTTCTTTCATTTTTGAGATTAAAATATAAGTACATCATCTTCCCTTCATTTTTTCTCCCGAAACTTCCCATATAACCATTCTTTCTCTCTTTTAAATTCATGGCCTCTCATTTTATTAATTGTTGTTATATGCATATTTGTTACATGCATGTATGCATATGTATATGCTGTTATATGCATACATGCATTCCTAAATACATATATGAATATATACAGTATACTCAATACATATATATGTATTTATGTATTACAAAATATAACCATCTCAGTCTGTATAGTCCTATTTGTATATATGTTTTCAGTGGTGAACATTTGGTATCCGTTAACCAACTGATATGCTCTTCCTTGGAGGGCATTTTTCCACTCTCAGCATCCCTTAGTTGTCTGTAATTTTTTGTGTAGGGTGGACACCTCGTGGGCTTTCCCCATGAACTCTAGCATCTCCATTGTTGTCATCCTTGTTCTGCGCATGTTTGGACAATCATGTTAGTAAGATAGTAGGGATGTAGCTTCTGACATTCCTAGGAGACTCAATTTCACAGCAAATTATCTGATCCTCTGGTTCTTACTCTCTTTCTGTATTTTTCCCTGATCCCTGAGTGACATATGGAGGTAATTTGCAAATGTATCCATTGGGACTAGGCTCCACAACTCTGCATTGTAATTGGTTGTTTTGTTCTGTAAGTTTCATTGATGAGAAGTGAGGACTATATTTATCTGAGGTGAGAAGGACAAATACTTAGAAAGTAGTTAGAAATGCTGGTTTGATAAAGGGGTGGTTTATATGTTTTCTTCGAAGATCCACAGTTTCATTAGTTCTGGGTAGTTGTCAAGGTTTCCAGTAACAGACATGATGTCCCTCTTGTTGAACATGTCTTAAGTTCAGCTAAAGAGCATTTGGTTCCCACAAGGTATGCATGCCAATACTTCACCCTTTATCATGCAATGCTCGCCATTTCTGTGGCTCACACCATCATAGTTAGGTAGGACTACTGGTTGCTTTCCTTCTTTGGAAGCTTGCGTGGCACCTTCTGGTACCACGAAAGCTAATACTTAGGGAGGAAACTTTCAGGTTAGTTCATCTCAGTGTCCTCCTCTTCTAGAAGTTTCAATTATCACAACTAGGTCTGGTTTTTTGTTTTGTTTTGTTTTGTTCTTGTATTTGTGGGCAAGGTTATACATACAATTTTAATTTTATTTCTTTACATTGGGAAATCCTGGCACTCTTTCCTTTTTTCCCCTCTATCCTACTTTATTATATTAGCTAAGGATTAAATAGCTGAAGTTTTACATACCCATGTTTGGGTCTCTGATTTTGTTCTGTTGATCTACATGTTTGTTTTTGCTTCTACTACCATACTGCTTTTATTACTATGGCTCTGTAACATACCTTGAAATCTGGAGTGGCTGTCCCTCTATCATTGTTCCTTTTGCTAAGGAATTTTTTTTTATCTATCAGGGGTCAATTTTAGGGTAGTTTT